CCCGCGGCCCAGGCCTTCTTTGTCCTGCGGACACTCTCCAAACGCCCGCACTGCCCGGTTTGGGGTGGGGGTTGGCGCCGGACCTCCAGGGCCGAGAAGAGCCGGGGCAGACGGGAGGCAGGACAAGGCAGCAGCACCCCGCAGCGGCCACTGGTCGCCTGGGTTCCCCGCAGCTTGACAATTCTCGCCCTTGTCCCACTTGGCAGACGAGAGCTGAAGGCCTAGCGGCCAGGGGTTTTGACAGGTGGCTCGGTTGAGGAGCCCGGTGAGGGCGAGGAAGAGGGTGGACGGGGCTGAGGGGGGTGTTTCTGCTCCGGGACCTGTCCCTTGTCGCCCGGAGTAGGTGGCAGGAAGCGGTCCTGCCACCTCTTCTGCAGTCAGCCTGGAGGTCGCCAGCCCAGCACCTGCCCAGCTCCCAAGTGAGACGGCAGAGCCGGACTCCGGACCCCACACTCCCAGGGAGGCGCCTGCTGAATGGACGCCAGCGCGCCCCCCCCCAGACCCCTGGGAGCCACACTGGGAAGAAGCCTTGCAGCCACCGTGCACCAAGGGAGCCCTAACCCCATCACACCCAGGACTACCTCAATGGGGTGCACAGAGGCTGCCCTGGACCTAGCCAGGTGTCAGGAATCTGAGTCTGGACAGATAGGGAGGAGGGAGGGGTGGCACTCAGGGCATACCGACTGCTCTTGGCCACTCCTGCCTCCTGTACCCCCTCTCTCCCACCCCAGGACCAATCAAGTGGGAGGCTGACGTGGGCAGGATGGGGGAGGAAGTGGCCACAGAATGAGAAAACAAGAATCGAGAGGGGGATCCCCAGAATCAGGCTTTGGGGCGGGGGCATGGGAGACAGGAAGGGAAGGGACACAGGAACAGCCTGTGGCAGAGGAGTGCAGTGAGAGCTGTGGCAGGGCCGGGTGGCTCCCAGGGCCTTGTCTTCTTGGGAAGCCCTGGCAGCCTCACAAACCATTCCCTGTGCCTCAGTTTCCCATCTGGCCATGCCCTGGGGACTCCCTCAAATCCCTGCAGCTCATTTGTCTGCAGCAGCCACAGTGCTTCCTGTGGGGCATCCGTGTGTCCCATGGGCCCCCTGTATCTAGCTCCGGGCCCCACTCCAGGCTATTCAGCCACAGATGTGTTCAAACCCAGCCACGGTGACAAAAACCAGGACAGATGGCCTCCCCGGCACCCACAGGGCCAGGTTGCTTAAGAGTTCTAACTGGGAGTCAGTCAGCCCTGGTTCACGTCCCAGTACCCTCTCATTAGCAGCATGGCAGTGAGTCTGCTCATCTGTGAAGTGGGGCTGTGAGCAGCACCTGGTAGTGAGGGCAGTTGTGAGGGTCCGAGGAGCCCCTGGCCAGCCAAGTCCCATCAGTTGGTCTACCTGGCACCACGCGGGTAGTGGAGGACCCACCAGGCCTCAGCATCCTCCTGCATTAGTTGTTTCCACCCGCAGAGCTGGGAGCAAGATGCACTGTCTTGATTCTTGTAGTTCAAGTCCAGTTGGCCCTGCCTTTCACAACGGCTGGTATGATCTGTTGGGCCCAAAGTATCATTGCCAACACACCCTCTCCTGGATGTTTTTGTTTTATTACTATGAAAATTTGCAAATATAAAAAAGCTGAAGCCGGCTCGATGGCTCAGCCTGTAATCCCGCGCCTTGGGAGGCTGAGGTGAGTGGATTGCCTGAGTCCGCGGGTTCAAGACCCGCCTGGGCAACTTGGCAGACCTCATCTCTACAATAAAAAAAAGAAA